GAAAATCTGAATTCTGGAGGTCAAATGTCATCAAGCAAAGATAAACGTCTACAAAACTTCTGAGATACAAGATTGCCGCTCGCTGTTTGATTTTGAAAAAAAAACAAATTGATGTTACCATGCTAATAATATAATGGGTCGTTTAAAACGACATATGTAATATTTCATTTCGCTGCACGAATAATATAAAGTGTTATTTGAATTTGACTTACATACTGTGAACATTTTTATTTTTTAGTTGGCCACGGTTTTTGATAATTACGGTATACCAATGACGAATTCGAGTCAACTCGGCCCCAAGTCAAATCGGCCCCAGTCAACTCGGCCCCAAGTCAACTCGGCCCCATGTCAACTCGGCCCAAAATCAACTCGACCCCATGTCAATTCGGCCCCAATTTACTGTGTATTTATTGAATATTTACCAAAAGAGACTTGAATTGCAAAGCCAAAATTAAAGTGTTTTAAATCGTTGCCTTTGTTATTTCGTTTCATTTACATGCACTTACAATAATTAAAACTGCATTAATAAAAATAATATTAAAATAATATTAATAAAAATATAAAAAGGTATAATATATAACTAATCATGATAATAAACGATATACTTGGGGGCCGAGTTGACTTGGAGCCGAGTGGACTTGGGGCCCAAGTTGACATGGGGCCGATTTGACTTGGGGCCGTGTTGACTTGGGGCCGAGTTAACTGGGGCCGAGTTGAATATTCCGGAATGATATATTTAATTTATCATTATTTAATAATATTATTTTTTTTTTACTCACTGTCCCATAATTTCATGTTTTAGTTTTTTTTTTCAAAATTTCAGTCAATGGCATGCGAAGCGTGACTGTTGTGTCAGGCTTAGGAACCTAGGGGCCTAGTTGGTGGGGGGATAGCAGGTAGGACCTAACTAAGCTTGTAACTAGCCCCACTAGTTTAGCCTCTTTTGCTCTAGCCTTTGATAGGAATGTACACTATGTACTGCTGGTACTACACCCTATAGAAGGGGTATACTAGCTGTTGTTGTTGTTGTTGTAGGTAGTATTACATTTGAAACAAACATACAAGAAGCTCACAGTTAGTTACAGACGTAGCCTACATCCCATAAATCGGTAGGATTTCATAGGCCTACCGTAGGTGAACATAATTATACTCTTTGATATGAAGAACAGTACAGTAATGGTAATAGAATACTCGAGCGTCACGACATTGGGAAGTGCCTGCTCTTGTTGGTATCAAACTCGAGTCGAGTCAATCCGAGACGGCCCGAGTGGAGTTTCGTACAAATGTTTCGTACGGGAAAAAAATTGCCACCCGTTAAAGAGGTGAGTTTTGAGTTCTGTCTTAAAAATAGTACCTGGTGGTCAGTCAGCAATAATTATGTTTAGGGAGGGCGTTCCAAATTGTGGCAACAGAAAATAAAAATGATCTGCGGCCGTAGATTTCGGTTTTAACTCTTGGAACAAGGCGCAGATTAAGTTCAGAAGAAGAGAGATTGTGTGCTATCGTTTATTAGTAGGCCCTAACTAAGTGTTAGTATACGTGCAGCAGTGGTCTGAAGACATTGTAATCTGGTTAGCTGAACTTTTGGTGCAGTTACAATAATAAAGATGAGAAATGAGAAATGACAGAGGCATTGATTAAAGTGGCAGTATAGTGTGCTTAGTATGATATTTCCTGATGTTAGCAACATTGCGTAAGTAAAAACTGTTTTAGTGATATGACTAATATTATTGTTTAAAAAACAGGTTCCCGCTTGTCTACTGCTTCACATTTCTTTACTACTTTTAAGTGTACAAAATCCAGCCTAGGTGGAGAAGATTTAACGCAATTGTTACCAAGTGCTTTTCTAGAGAAGAACCAATAAGCTGGTTTAACATTATTGTTGGAGCAAAAACAAAATTGTGAATGAATTTATGTCTTTACTTACATCATGGACCTATTAATAAGAAGGACATAACGTAGTATTGCCCTTTGATCCATCATCTTATCCGACAAGATTAGAGAGGGGCATATTGTTATGTTCTTTGTTAATTATTACTATGTTGTGTAAACAGAGAAACAAGAACATGCTTGAGTCCATTGAACGATTTGTTACTGAACTATTTATTCACTTCCCTGCTCCAGAGGGCGCTATGTATGTGTGGAATACTGTGTGGTTTAAACATCACATCCCTCCTTTTGTTGAAATTAAAGTATACCCCATTATTCATGATTAACTGTGTTCAATGAATATCAATAAGAAGCTATACAATACTTTTGTGTGAGATCTCTTCATAAGAATATTGATTTTTTTTTTGCCTAACACATAAAACAACATTGTTAAATTTGAAATATTCTTGTTTTGATTGTTATGATTCGTTTTTAAGCAAAAAAAATTCAAACAAACTATAGTTTGAAAAAAAGACTGTATGAATACATCTGTATTAGTGTGGTTATAATTCTTGTGTCACTACAATTCTTAAACAATATTTTTTTATGACAACGTTTCATGCAATATCCAATCAGTCTATAAAATTACTATTGAATCAATTTTCTTTCAAAACAACAAGTTCTGTAAACACAATAAAACTGATTGGTAAGTATTCATTTCCAGTTCAATAAAATGAAATCACAATCAATTATTGATCAGTATCAGCTCATGATGTATTTAACGCAAACGCAATCAACATATCGATCAGTGTTCATTCATTCATGACAATGTTGAAGATTCAATCAACATGAGTTACATAGTCTTGAAGATAAGCTGGACGCTTCCTATTCCGCTTTGGTGACTCAGCTTCATCTTCAGCAAAAGTAATATCTCTCTTTTCAGCTTCAGTTGTGGATTCACACTGATCTCCAATCTTCTTGAAGAACGATGAATTTCGTGTTACATAATGATCACCACTTGCGGCTGTGATTATCGAACCCTTTTTCTTTGTGATGACATGTGGTTGAGGGTCATAAGGTGTCTCCATTTTGCTCTTTCTACAAGTGCGTTTAACCAATACCACATCTCCTTCTTTCTATGAAGACGGCTGAACATACCATTTGCTATCAGCCTGCATTTTCATCTTTTCCTTTGCTATTTCATCTTTCGTACGCATTTCTGTGTCCTCTGGTGTCGTGACAACCTCTGGAAGTTTAATGTGTAACGGTCTAGAGAACAATGCGGTTGCTGGTGGTACATTGGTACTTGAGTTTGGTGATGCACGATAGTTGCAAAGAAATCTGAACATTTCTTGTTTCCAGTTTTTACCTGTTGCTATGGAAGCCTTGATGACTTTCTTGATGGTCTTCATGAAGCGTTCTGCCTCACCATTCGCCTTTGGCCAGTATGGTGTGGTTTTACGATGTTTGAAGCCTAGATCATTTGCGAAAATCTAGAAGTTGAATGGTGATCCATTATCAGATTTTAGCACATTTGGTACACCAAATTCTGAAAAGATCTTATCAATTCTTGGAATGACAGTTGCAGCACTAACTGATTTTAATGACTTCTACTACAGGAAATCGACAATAGTCGTGTCGATTATGACGTGAAGATATGCTGAAGGCAATTTAGCAAAATCAATGCTTAACTCCTTCCATGGACCTGTTGGTAGCTTGGACATTAGTAGGGGTTCTCGGCTAGGTGTGTCTGTTGCTGCATGACATTGGATACAACTTTTAACAACGTGGTCAACTGCTTTGTCTAGCCTTGGAAACCAAATTTTTTCACGAAGTAGAGCTTTTGTCTTTACAATGCCCATATGACCTTCATGAGCAATGCGAACTGCACGATCCTGCAACTTTTCTGTTATTACAATTCGGTGTCCACGTAGCACCAGTTTTCCTTTACCACAAACGGCTAATTCGTGTTTCACTTTTTCACAGCGGGTGTAGAACTGTGAGTTGACTAACGGGTTTGTATGTCCGCGATACCATTTTCCGGATTTTGTTGCTTGCATAACAGCTTTCAGCGTTTCATTTTCTTCTGTTGCTAATTCTATTTCCTCTATGGTGATTGCTTTAGGGGTGGATGTGGCTGTTATGTAGTTTATGTATTCTCCGGCTATTTTCTCCTCTCGGCTCGTTTTCACTTGGGCCTTGTACGGGTGTCTAGATATGTAATCAGCTGGGTTATCTGGTCCAGAACGATAAATGACCTTAGCATCATAAGGCGGAAGTCTCATTGCCCATCTTGCAAGTCTTGGAGGAGAAGTAGAGTTTGGATTCCCATAGATAGATACTAATGGCTTATGATCGGTAATGATGGTGATTGGTTTTCCATAGATGTATATGTGAAAATGTTCACAAGCCCAAATAACTGCATGACCCTCTCGCTCTGTTTGTGAATATCTCTGCTCAACTTGCGAGAGGGCTCTGCTTGCATATGCTACAATATGGTGAGTTTGAGGATCAGCAGGGTCTACTTGCATTAGTAGGGCTCCAAGTCCAACTGGGCTGGCATCAACATACAGTAGAGTATTGTAGTGTGAATTAAATTATTTTAGAACAGGTGCATGCACCAGTGCATCTTGTAGAGCGACTAGGGTTTGATCATGCCTGTCAGTCCATTTCCACAGAACATCCTTTCGCGTTAGTTCGCGAAGTGGTTGAGTTAGAGTAGCATAATCTTGGGATAAAGCGTGAACCGCAGAAGCTTGTCATTCCCAATAGACTACATACTTCTGATGCACTTTGGGGTTTGTCCATCTGAACAACAGCTTGGATTTTTTTCGGATCAGGAGCAAATCCTTCTTTGGAAAAGTCATGACCAAAGAATTTAAAAGCGTGTTTGTTGTATGCACATTTTCCAGAGTTCAATGTGAGTCCCTTTTCACGAAGGCGTTGGAAGACAGCTCGAAGACTGTTGTTGTGATCATCTTGATTCTTTCCGTAAATCAATAAATGTCATCGCTTATATTGATCACGCCTTGAATGCCGGCCAGAGTTTCTCGTATGGCGTTCTTGAAGTTTTCCGTTGCACTATTAATGCCAAAGTTGAGGCGTTTATATCGACGAAGTCCAATATGTGTTTAAAAACATGTGATGTATCGAGATTCCGGTGCTAGTTCTATCCGGTTATATCCTTGGTTCAGGTCCAACTTACTGAAAACTGTAGCTCCGTTTAGCTCATGTATTATTTCACTAATGGTTGGAATTATGTGTCGTTCTCTTTTAATAGCAGTGTTTGGTTGCCGCATATCAACACACACTCTAACTTTTCCTGGTGTTTTCTTGGGGACTACAACAACTGGCGATACCCACGGTGTTGGTCCATCTATTTTCTCAATGATTCCAAGTTGTTCATCACGTGCCAATTGTTCCTCAAGATCTTTCCGGACATGAAATGGAACTCTGCGAGTACCTTTAGCTACTGGGATCAGTCTCATCTCAATATTATTATTATTATTATTATTATTATTATTATTATTATTATTATTATTACTAAGGCGGCGGCGGCGGCGACGACGACGACGGCGACGGGAAGAAAGCAGAAATCTAAGGCAAAACAGAATGGAATTTGTGGTGAAACAAACACACAAAAAGAAAAGAAAGGTAGGTTTTGTGAAGCTATTTATCATTGACCAGTTAAAATAATATTGAAGCATGGAATTTATTTTCACAATCCAAGATTAATACTACCGGTATCATTATTTATTAGATTCTGATAAAATCTTTAAATAAAGATAAAGATAATTGTCTTTGGGTTATTGCTGTTGAATCCGAAATTATTATTAAATTAATTGTAGACTATTTCATACTTTAATCTTCTTTTTACTTCCAGGGAAAAAAACAAAAGGCCTGCAAGTGTTTTCACCAAAGAGGATGCTGAGATGGAAGTTAAAGGTCTAATAAACAGTGCGCTAGCAGCTTTAGAGTGTCACCCAATCTATAGTGGTCCATTTCCAAACAAGGGCAAGATATTGGGACTAAATACTTTACAACGGACATACAATGACGACGAGTTAGCTTGTTTTACTGGATTATTGGTTTCAGTAGTTTGGGATGCTATTCGCTCTGCAGGCAATTTGTGTCTAGGTCCAAAAACTATTAACATACATAATATTATGTTTAATGCCAAATTCAGAGAGGCATGGGATGCTGTCACTAATACAGAAAACGCTATGATCAATGGCATTGTTTTGATGTTTGTTGTTAGGAATGAGGCAACGAACATGATGCGTTTACGAAAGGAGAAGAACAAGGCCAAAGTTGACCCGCTACAAAATAGGATATTATGGCTGAAGAAGAGAAAAATGTCCTTCGTTAAGTAGCAGGGTACCATATGTTGTTGCTCTCCCCTCGTACATTCAGGACTCCACGGACTTTATCCGCAAAATTAACCAAATTTCAAATTTACCTAATAATACTGTTCTGGCTACACTTGATGTTTCGTCATTATATACTAACATCCCTCGTGAAGAAGGTGTTAATGCGTGCATTTCAAATTACAAGCAAATTCGGGGCAAAACCCCATCTAAATTACATCTCCGTGAACTTATCATGCTGAATCTGACCAATAATAACTTTGTTTTCGGCGACGGTCATTACCTTAAAATTCATGGCACAGCGATGGGCACCAAAATGGCTCCATCTTTTGCTAACTTATTTATGGGACAATTTGAGGCCAATTTCCTGTCCCTACAGCCCAAGAAACCAGATGTTTGGTTTCGTTACATTTATGATATCTTCATGAACTGAACCCATGGTAAAGATAGTTTGGACACGTTCCTATTGAACATTAATTCGGCTCATCCCACAATCAAATTCACTGCTAAAAAATCCACAAGCAGTGTAGATTTTTTGGACATCACCGTGACCATGGAAAATGGTGCACTTAAAACTGATCTCTTCCGTAAACTAACGGATAAGCATATGTACCTGCTCCCTCGCAGCTGTCACCCCCCGCACTGTACAAAAAACATTCCGTACAGCCAAGTATTGCACACGAGACGCATTTGTTCTTCGGATTTAGATTTTCAGAATCGAACAGAAGAACTATCCGGACATCTCCGGAATAGAAATTATCATTGAGGACCCATTGAAAATGCTATAAAAAAAAAAAAGCAAAGGACATACCTCGTGCTCAAACACTGACGAACAAACCACGTCAACGATCGACCAGAGTGCCACTGGTCACTACCTATAACCCTAGGTTACCACCACTAAGGGCTATAATTCAGAAACATATGCCCATTCTACAGACCACAGAACGTCTTAGGTCTGTTTTTCCGGATACACTGTTTATAGCCTATCGCAGACCACCTAACCATCGTGATATATTAGTACGATCTAAATTCAAGAGGCAAATTAACTCTTGCGACAACCGTAATTTGGGTAGTCATCTTTGTGGTTCATCATGCAAAACATGCTCCTTGCTTGATTCTACACAATCATTCAAGAGCAACCAAACAAACCACATATTTCGGATAAGGAAA